TTTTTTATGATTGTCTTGGTTCTTTGGTTCAATAATTTATCGAGTCGAGCTTTTCAAACCCTTGATTTTTGGTTTTTTTGGGTTTTATCTAATCAGTCTTGGGTTTCGTAGTTTCAATTGTTACGTGTGTTCACATCATTTGGTATAAGAACTTAGGTTCCAAAAACTAAGGTTATATCCTTCTTGTTTGAATTTTTATCCTCATTCTTCGTGTTCTTCATCTTTTGAGTCTTTAAATTCACCAAAAGTCCCAATCAAATTCAAAAGTTATTGTGAACTAAATTAGTGCCCAAATCAATTTTCTTTTTGAATTTTTGAGCTCCTTGTAGAATTCTCCTGGATTTGTAAAAATTTTTGCAAATTGAAAAAAAAAAAATATAACAGTAAAAAAAAAAAAAAAAAAAAAAAAAAAAAAAAAAAAAAAAAAAAAAAAAGAGTCCAAAGTTAAACGTGTCCAATTCGAATTCAAGAAATACCATCTTGAATTTATCTTTAGTGTTCCATTCGAGTATCAATTCCCACTTCTTAAATTATTCTAGAGTCAGTTTTCCTTACCCAGTTCTTTATTTGAACTCTACAAGGATTAGAATTTGATTGAGATCGAGTTAGTTCTACGTTTGCAAAGAAGCATTGAATGGAAAAAGGTAGAGAGGTAAGACTAATAGAGGGAAAAAGATAGGTTGAGGGATACACAAATGTACACATGTGAAACAAACATTATTCTAGATTTAGGATGTCAAACATAGACAATTCTATTTCAAGCAGGAAGAATAATAAATTCATTATGATTGAAGAGATGATTAGGCGATTTAAAAGGTTGTTTGGAGATATGTGAGATAAAATAGATAGGTAAGAGCCGTAGATGGAGAGGTAAGATAAGTTGCTTGCTAATTTATGTAGGGAACAACCTAAAGGAGTTCCTAGATTGACAATTGGAGGTGAAAATGAGATGGCTAGTGGGATAGATGATGATGCATTAGTGGAGGCTGAAATAGAAAGGATGAGGATTAGAGGAGTAGGCATGATCGGAAGGCTAGAGATTATGTTGGAGATGGCGTTGATAGGAATATGAGCAATATTAAGATGACAATTTCTTCATTCAAGGAGAGGAACGATCCAAAGACATATTTGAAGTGGAAGAAAAAGATAGAGCTCATATTTTATGCCACATCTACTCGGAGGTAAAAAAGGTAAAACTTGTTGTCTCTGAGTTTATTGATTATGCTATCATTTGGTGAGATCAAATAGTAACCCCTAGGAAGATAAATCATGAGCACCTTATTGAAACACAAAGATAATTGAAGCTATCATGAAGAAGAGGTTTGTCCTTAATCATTAGTATAGGAATCTTTATAAAAAATTATAAAGCCTCTATTAGGGATCTAGGAGTGTGGAGGATTATCATAAGGAAATAGATGTTATGCGGAGTTGGAGGACATGCTATAGGTAGCTATGAAGGTAGAGCGGACGTTGAAGAGGAAGTGAGCAGCTAGATACATACCCATCGAGTTCTAACTCTTCATGGAAATTGAAGTGGGATAACAATAAAGGTGATGTAAATATTTCAAAGGGTAAGACTAAGCTACTAAATGGAAGAGAGGAAGTTGATACCAAAGCTACATCTAAGGTGGATTCCCAACCCCCTGGGAATCGAGATATCAAATGCTTTAGGTGCTTGGGTTCGGGACACATTGTTCTCTATGTCCAAACAAAAGGGCGATGATTTTGTAAGATAATGGATAAGTGGTGAGTGATAGTGATGCTAATTATGATGACATGTCGAAATTGGAGGATGCTAGTGATGGTGAGAAAGTGGAGTATGCAGTGGAAGAACTATTAGTCACAAGGCAAACTCTTAGTGCTCAAATCAAAGTGGATGACTTGGAAAAACAAAGGAAAAACATATTTCACATGAGATGTCATGTCAACAAGATATGTAGTATGATTATTGATGAGAGTAATTGTACTAATGTGGCTAGCACTACACTTGTTGAGAAATTGGGATTAACCATGCTAAAACATCCTAAGCCTTACAAATTGCAAATGTTGAATAAATGTTGAGATGTTAAGGTGAAAAGATGAGTGTAGTTGAGTTTCTCAATTAGGATGTATCATGATGATGTAATGTGTAATGTAGTTCTTATGCATGTTGCACACATTTTGTGGGGGAGACCATGTCAATATGATAGGAAGATAATGCATGATGGGTACAAAAATAGGTATAGCTTTACTAAGGTGTGAAATTTATTACTATTACACCGTTAACACCAGCACAATTGTACGAAAATCAAACCAAATTGAAAAGTAAGGAAGAAAATAGATTGAGATAAAAAGGAGAGTGGGATTGATCTTTCACAACAAGAAAATAAGAGAGAGAGAAAGTGAGGTGTCTAATTGTGAGAAAAAGAGTAGAGCTATAAGAGAGTAAAGAAAAATAGTCTTATTAGAGGAGAGAAAAGTCGAAACTGAATTTCTTTGTAAAAGAGAGTGAGTTGAAGAGAACAGTAGTTATGAACCAACCTATGATATTTTTAGTTTATAAGGAATCATTCCTCAATTTTGAGGAATCTAAAACACCATCCCAATTTTGGCTACTTCTTTGTTGCTGGAATTAAAAGACCTATTTTTGGAGGACGTACTTAGTAGGTTACCATCCATTTGAGGCATTGAGCATCAAATTAATTTCGTACCTCGAGCTCGAGCTGTCATTCCAAACAAACCAGCTTATAGGAGTAATCCCAAGGAGACTAAGGAACTTCAAAGGCATATGAAAAAATTAATGAGCAAATGGTACATGAGGGAAAGTATATTTCCATGGGCCTTTCAAGTGCTACTCGAGCCAAAGAAAGATGGAACTTGGAGGATGCGTGTAGACTGTCGATAGCATAATCGTAAAATATCATCATCATATACCTATGTTAGATTATATGTTAGATGAATTACATGGATTGTGCATGTTTACTAAAATAGATCTTAAAAGTCTATCATCAAATCAGGGTGAGACAAGTGGATGCATAGCAAACTGCTTTCAAAACTAATATATGATTCATATGAGTGGTTAGTCATGCTATTTGGACTTATTAATATACTTAGCACATTTATGAGATTAATGAATCATCTCTTATGTGCATTTATAGGTAAATTCGTACTTCGATGACATCTTGGTATATAGTAAAGATTTAAATGAGCATATATGATATTTGAAATGTGTGCTTGTGATTTTAAGACAAGAACAACTTTACGCTAACTTTAATAAGCATACATTTTTCATTGAAAAAGTAGTTTTTCTTGGCTATGTTGTTATTGCAAAGGGAATTGAAGTGCATGAGGAGAAAATCGAAGCTATCAAGGAGTGGTCGACACCTAAAAGCATAACTGAGGTAAAGCTTTCATGATTTAGCTAGCTTCTTGTAACGTCCAAATTTTTATAACACGAAGCGTTACCAAAAATTCACTTTTTGTTTAAAGTACATGCGAAAAGATCAAAATAAAATTATTTAATAAATAATAACTGCGGCATTCATAAATTTAAATTAAACATAGCAATTGTATATGGAAAATAACACTAAACATACCTTAAAATAAATTAACAAATAATTATGAAGGCAGAAAAACTTAATGAAAAATTTGCTTTGTTACTACGATCCTATTAGCAGCGTCACCGCCCTACCACAAATCCAATTGACCCGAACTAACCTGTAAAAATTTGTAAGAGCGAGTATTCGAGAATACCCAGTAAGATAGGTACAGTTTCCATATACATATATATAACAATAAAAATTACATTTTATACCATCTGATCTTATGGAGTATATCGATGACCAAACGACACACTCATCTTAAATCTTCTTACAATCTCGTAGGATTTCATATCTCTTTTGAAAGAAAGCGAATATCTACTAGCAATCCATGCATTTTTAATTGAACATGAATGCATAAGGAAATAAAAATACTTACACCTAAAGTATCTTCTCTCGTTTATTTAAGAGTTACATAATAGTTTCTTGTCTTCTAGTTCCCAAAAGTACCCTCTCTCTCTCTCTCTCTCTCTCTCTCTCGTACGTGTGTATAACTTTTGGTGTGTGAATTATCAAATCCATGTATAGTATTTATAGTAATAAAAAGTGGTTGAGTTATAATAGAAAACATGTACATATCTTATTGGATAGAACCTAGTTTTGGATTATATTTTAATAACAAATTCGTAGTTATCCAAATAGGATACTAACTATCACATCAAATTCAAAATAGATTAATAATAAACTAAAAATTAAAATTCATTACCCACTTTACACGTTTTTGGAGAAAGCAAATGAATTGATTTATAATTTATATAAAATTCTATTTATCCTATTTTCTTTCAATTGGGTCTAACTTAATGTGTTTTTATCCAAAATAACTTTTTCTCGAGTCAAATACTGTTAATTAATTACGACCAATAAAATGAGTCTATATCGTTCTATCAAAATCTAATTATTTGGAACAAATAAAATAGAAATTTAAAACATTTTTCATTTTAGTCCTCAACTTTCAAAAATATAAATATATAAGATATAAAATAAGTAAATTTTATTCTAAAATCTTTGAGAGGTTACAATCTCCCCTCCTTAAAAGAATTTCGTCATCGAAATTACCTGCATTTAGGTCTTCCGCAACTTGTCCTGGGCTAAAGCGAAAACTCGAGCCTTTTCTTTCTTTTCTGGCTCGTCATTCTTCTTTGAAGGGTCTTCTTTGCAGTTTTTGGAGATATGCCATGTTTTACCACATCGATAGCACACATGCTTCCTAAACAAACATTCAACCCTATGTATTTTGTTGCACTTTGGACAGGGTAGAATGACTTGTCCAAAACTTGATCCAAAATTAACTTTCTTGTTCGGTCCTTCTTCTTTCTCTTCGTTGGATCCATTCCATTTCCTCTTTCCTAAAGAGTCGGCCCCTTGCTAGGGAGTTTGGTCAATTTCCACCCTATTTGAGATTGCTTGGACAGTCTGCAATACTTAGCTATAGGTGGTAAATTGGTGGGATGCCAGTATTCCACCAATCTCAGTACGCAATCCTAGCTCAAACCTCCTTGCTTTCTTTGCTTTAGTGTCCATTAGGCGTGGTGTATACCTAGAGAGTTGTTCGAATTTTCTCTGATAATCCTTAAGCTTCATTTTTCCCTGTTTAAGTTGAAGGAATTCTGTCTCCTTTTCATCTCTCAGAGCTTGGGAAAAGTATTTTCCCATCACTTCATCTTTAAATTGTGTCCACGTCAAAGCACGTTGTTGTGCTTCTGTTCTAGTGTGAGATGCTGACTTCCACCAGTGGCCTGTAGCGTTAACCTACATGAACTCTGTGCATAACACCTTTTGAGCATCAGTGCAAGATAGATGTCTGAAGATTCGCTCCATTCCTCTTATCCATTCTTCAGTTGCTAGTGGGTCTGCCTTGCCATCGAAGGTTGGGGATTTGTAGCGACAGAAATGTTCTACAATTGAGCTGATGTTGTTAGCGTTTGCACCATGGGGACCAGCTTGTGCTTGTTGCCTACCCAAATTTTGTACCACCCTTAGCAAATCCCTGATGATCGTAGTTTGATTTTGTTGTTGTTTTGACATTTTCTTAACACAAATAAAATTTTAATTTAGGAATATTTGATAAAAGAACCTAATATTATTAATAATCTTTGTAATAATGAATAACTTTAAAAATATAAAATTTCAAATCCTTACATATAGTAACTTGTTTTCAAAATCAAATAAATAAATAAATAAACAATTAAATTTTTCATAAGTAAATAAATAACACTTATTTCTAATCCTTGTGAGTAAAAAAAAAAAAAAAGATCTTCTTTTTATGGAATCTCATCATCCGAAGTAATGCATGACTCTGGCTCGAAATATGCAACCAAATCAACGGAATTTTGTGGTTGGATTTATTGCTCAGGGTCTTCCAGCTCTGGTTCGATATCTTCCTCTAAGTCCTCTTCCGGCTTTGGTTTGGGTTCGGGCGTTGGTACTCGTTGTTTGTGATTCCATAAAATTATGATATCCTCACAATATCCTTTAAAATCAATCTTATCCCAATCTTCTTTCCAAATATAACTCATAATTCATATCCCTCACGAAGTAAGCCACGTCTCTCCATTGAGGTCGCATAGTGCTTATAAAGTGGTATATCGAGAGGACTGCCCCTTCATTATATTCGAATGATCTTGCACGTTCCCACTTAAAAGGGAAATTTTCAACATGTTCAAAAAAAAGTTCACTTTCATCTTACTTCATAATTTATGTAGTTCTTAATTGGCTATTTCAGCACGCTGGAGGTATGTTGGGCTATTTCTAGTCATCCTAATCATGTGATAAGTATAATTTTAATTATGCTTAATCTTGCATTATCAATATTATTTTATTCTCAGTGCATACACGATATTCTAGTAAAATGTAAAAAAAAATGACAAATATATTATGCGAGGTGACCATGCTTATACATTTCATAATATGAATCATGCTATAAATATGTCATTACATTTCATACATGGGATCAATTGGAGAATGGTCAAGTAGTGAGCGTAGCGTGCCAGTGATTCTTATGTCATAAATCTCATAAACGTCCAAGACTTTAATTAATTAATTTTTATTTACTTATTTCTCTCTCTCTTTTTTCCCCAATGTTTAAAAAAAAAAACAACTATAATTCATGTATATATAAAAGTTTCCTAAAATAGGCCCCCTTTTTTTTATAGGATTTTCTCAAAATAAAATTTCCAAAAAATAGGCCCCTCGTATATATGTGTATATATATTTATTTATTATTTTATTTTATTTAAAAAAAAAAACAAAAACAAGAATGTTTGAAATTTTGTTTTCTGCCTCGCCGATTTAAATAACGCGCAATTAAAAGGCTTCCAGTTGAGGATGGGGTCACAGGTGGACTGCTTAAATTCCAATATCTTCTTAGACAGTTTAGGTCTTTTGACAAAGCCTTTCAATTTTATAATTATGCAAATCAACAAAACTCAAACAATAAATCAAACGGGAAATTTCTTAAAATATGAATTTTCAAATTGGTCCACTTTTAAAACATCCCAAAATGCTAAAGTTAAAACGCATAAAAATTTATTACATGTGAAATTAGAACCATAGTCATGAAACCATAACAATTTAAATTCTAGACTACTATCATTCAAAATTGACTTAAACACAATACTTAACTTTCAAAAATATGAGAAATAAAGAAAAAAATATATAGACATAATTTTTTAGGTTACTGTTCACATGAACACTAAAATTCAATGTTCACGTTCTCTCTTTCTTTTTTTTTTTTTTCAAAATTTTTTTTTTACTGTTCATGTGAACTGTTCCATAAATTTTTTTTCCCAAAAACAAGTCTGCAGAAAAGTCAAACTGTAATCTTATGCCAAGTTGTAACGCCCCAAATTTTCATAACACTAGCGTTACCAAAAATTCATTTTTTGTTAACTTTACATGCGAAAAGATCAAAATAAAATTCTTTAATAAATAATAATTGCGGCATTCATAAATTTAAATTATATATAGCAATTGTATCTGAAAAAAAACACTAAACATGCCTTAAAATAAATTAACAAATAATTATGAAGGCAGAGAAACTTAATGAAAAATTTGCTTTGTTACTATGATCCTCTTGGTAGCCTGCATCACCGCCTTACCACAAATCCAATCGACCCGAACTAACCTTTAAAAATTTGTAAGAGTAGGTATTCGAGAACACCCAGTAAGATACGTACAGTTTCTATATACATTATATCATTTGATCTTATGGAATATATCGGTGATCAAGCGACACACCCATTTTAGGTCCCCTTATAATTTCGTAGGATTTCATATCTCTTTTTAAAGAAAACGAATATCTACTGGCAATCCATGTATTTTTAATTGAACATAAACGCATAAGGAAACAAAAACACTTGCACCTAAAGTATCTTATCTTGTTTATTTAAGAGTTGCAAAATAGTTTTTTGTCTTCTAGTTACCAAAAGTATCCTCTCTCTCTCTCTCTCTCTCTCTCTCTCTCTCTCTCTTACGTGTGTATAACTTTTGGTGTGTGAATTATGGAATTCAAGTATAGTATTTATAGTAATAAAAAGTGGTTGAGTTATAATAGAAAACATGTACGTACCCTATTGGATAAAACCTAGTTTTGGATTATATTTTAATAACAAATTCATAGTTATCCAAATAGGATACTAGCTATCACATTTAATTCAAAATAGATTAATATTAAACTAAAAAATAAAATTCATTAAAGACTTTACACGTTTTTGGAGAGAGAAAATGAATTGATTTATAATTTATATAAAATTCTATTTATCCTATTTTTATTCAATTGGATCTAACTTAATGTCTTCTTAACCAAAATAACTTTTTCACGAGTCAAAGACTTCTAATTAATTACGACTTATAAAATGAGTCTAATATATATACATTAAATATCGCTCTATCAAAATCTAATTATTTGGAACAAATAAATAGAAATTTAAAACATTTTTCATTTTGGTCCTCAACTTTCAAAAATGTAAATATATAAAATATAAAATAAGTAAATTTTATTCTAAAATCTTTGGGAGGTTACACTTCTATAGGCATTTTTTTTAAAAACTTCAGCACATTGCCTCACACTGCTTACGAAGATTGCAAAGAAAAGTGTATGTCATTGTGGCGTTGAAGTCTTTTACTAATATTAAGGATAAGTTGTGTACTACACCGGTTTTATCACTATCTAACTTTAAATAATAATTTTGAGATTGAATGTGATGGGTTAGGAATAGGTATTGGAGCTATCTTGATTCAGGAATGAAGGTCCATAGCTTACTTGAGTGGAAAAAAGGCATAGTGGAGCACCTATAAATGGGCTACGTCAGGAGCCTCCTACATTCAAGTTTCAAGAGCAAATGAATAAGAATAGGCCACAAAATAATTCTTAGTCTAAGAATTGGTAGAAAAGGAGATCAGCCGAGGTTGCAAGGTAGCAAACTGTGAACTTCAAACTGCCTCTATACTAAGGTGATCATGAAGACGAGGATAGGCCATGTAGGTCTTTAAACTGAATGATGACGATGACAACCTCATATTCTCCTAAGAACTTTTAAATGCCTACGTTTCTAGTTAATTCGTGCCTCCAAAATACCAATTTACAAGGAAAAAGGTGACCTAAAGGCGCACATCAACACCTGCACGACTTATATGAGCTTGAGAGGGCCTTATGCAATACTGAAGTGTAGAGCTTTTTCACATGCCCTTTGTGGAGAAGTCAATAGGTAGCACGATAAGCTCCACTTTAGAAGTATTAGGAGTTTGCGAGATTTTAAGAGGCAATTCTTTTGAACAACTTCCTATCCAAGAGGGAAGAAAATGATCTAGTTTAGCACATCTAAGATACGAGGTGACGATTGATGAAATGTTCAAGGGCAAGGGCTATTTAGCTTATTTCATTGATGAAATAATTTATTGCGAGAAGTGATTCAATACGGAAGCTCTTTCTACCACAAAAGGAGGCCTCAATATAAACATACTATGCTGGAGGGACTTTCACAATAAAAATGACAAATTAGTATAGATGATGATGGATGAAATTGTTAATGAAGAGTTCACAGACCACCAAAACAAGGAAATAAGTGAACTCCCACTGCCTAACAGGCAGAGGTTCTACACCACATTTTATCAACCATCAATGGACTAAGTAGGGCGCCACATTGTCCCTATAGACACATTAAATGATGTGCCATCCTTAGCCTTTGATGAAGCTGGGCCTACTATATATTGGAACCAAAGAGTCATTTCTCCTCAACTAGCCACATAGGAGGCTAGATGTAATAGGGTTAGGAGGCCCCAAGAACCTACGATCTTACTGCCTTTATCATTGAGCTAAACACCTTCTCTAAAAAGGATACAACAGGACTATACTATCCCTCAATTTGATGCCTGATAATAAAGGCATTGTAGCCTACAATGGGTTGAAGTGCATGTTGATAGACAATGAGAGTTCCACCAACATCATCTTTGGAGCCACTTATGATCAAATGCTAGTGTATTATAAGTTGACCCCGATGAGCTCCTCACTCTACGGGTTAACAGGCTTTAGTATCACCATAAGAGAAAAAATACTCTTGCAATAGAGATGGAGAAGAAGTCCCCAATGGCCAGGCATTATATGGAATTCCCTGTGTTCGGTGTTTAAAAAGCTCAACTAGGTGGGCTATATTAATTATTATTATTATTATTATTATTATTATTATTATTATTATTATTATTATTATTATTAAAAGCCTTTTATTTGACTTTATTTTTAATTTGTCCTTTAAAAATTGTATAATTAACTAATTGTAGAAATTATTAAGTAAATATAGTATTTTATAATTTTAGATGCTTTCTATGTATTATTTTAATCATTAAATAATTTTTTGAATGATAAAATTTTTAAATAATATTTAAATAAGAAATCACTTTTTTATGGTCGAGGCTCACCTATGCTCGTAAAGCTTAAAGTTTGGCATCCACGGTTAGTAACGCTTTAGGCTTTTAAAACACTACTTGTGGTTAATAGCAGATCAACCTACTATGGGGGCTTGGGAAGACTTCCTTGAAGGAACAATGGGCAATTACCTCCATATATCACTTATGTATGAAGTTCTCTATGAAGAACGGTATTACCAATGTCAGAGGCAATCAAAGGGAGGCTAAGGAATGCTAATTGAATTCTATAAGGAAAGTAGCCCCTGTGAGATTAACACGATGATGATCGATACCAAAATGATCAATGTTCTTTGAAAAGGACAGATTACTAAAAATGGGAAAACACCGAGATGATATAAGCCCTTGTTGAAGAGGTCATATATGATGAATTAGACCCTCAATCACTAAGTCTGATTCACAAGCAGCCTAATGAAAGAGCTGGAGAGTTCTTCGTGGATTCTCAAGATCCTACGAAGTCACTACAAGTCGAGAAGAAACTGCGACAAAATGTAAATGAGAAGCTCAAAAGTTTACTATGTAAAACTTAGATATCTCTTCTCGAAACCATAAAGATATCGTGGGAATAGACGAAAAGGTGAGCTGTTACAACCTTAAGATAAACAAAGCTAAATGAAGAGGTTGAGAAGCTTATAACCAATGGCTTCAATAGGAAAATCTAATATCCGAGGTGGATCTCCAATACAGATTTCACGAAAAAGCATAATGGCAAGTGGAGAGTTTACACAAACTTTTGCAATCATAATCAAGCTTGCTCCAAAAGGGGTACAGAGCCTCAGTAGACAGGTGGCAGACCCTGAGTCGCTTTGTCTCAAAATCCACGGGCAAATGCCTTCTCTTCTTTAAAGTCCTTAAAGGAAAGGAGAAATTTCAATGGATAGAAGAGTATGGATAAGCTTTCCAAGAATTGGAAAGTACGTAGGCTAGGGCCTCTCTCTTTCCTATCCAAAATGTTCATGGGCCCCTACAACTATAATTTGGCTCTATCTAAAAAAGTAATCAACTTAGTTCATGTAAGACAAGAAAGCAACCACCAACTGCCATATACTGTGTGAGTGAGCAAAGCCTTTCTATAAGCGAAGGCTCAGTACCCTGAAATGAAGAAGCTCGTACTCAATCATGTGCTTCAAAAGCTACGTTTTTGTTAGGTTGATGAAATATTTTTTACGACTGAGTGACTTTGACATTATCTTCAATTCAATAACCTCCATAAGAGTTAAAGCCTTGTAGACTTTGTTGCGAAGTATTTTAATGCCCCTGAGATAGAGGCGAAGATGGAACCATTAAGCTACCAATTTGGAGCCTCCTCATGTGGTTCATCTGGAGAGGTAAAATGTCCATTTTGATGCATTACCAAGCTGATCAACAGTAAAGATTTCAAGATGGCCAAAAGCAAAGATTTCTAGCTGTTCAAGATGGTGCAAATTGAACAACTCTCTAGGCCACCCATATCCATGGAAGAGGTGGTGAGGTGGGTTGAAGTACCCTCATAGTCTTCCTAAAAGATTAGATCCTCCCTGATAATAAGGATGAAACATACACACTTAGAAGGATAACACTACATTTTATTCTCCAAGACGAAGTCCTATACAAGATAGGCTTCTCATCATCTTTCATTCGATGCACAGGAGAAGAAGAGGCAACGTACATTATCAGGAAAGTTTATAAAAGTGTATGTAATAATCATATTGTAGGACTTGCACTTACATAAAAGGTATTTAAGTAGGAATATTACTGTTATACTTGACAAAATGATGCCTTTCAACTTGTGTGCAAGTGCGATAAATGCCAATGCTTCGCAACGATGCAGAGGCAGTCCTTCAATGAGCTCCTAATTGTGTTTAGCCAAAAGAAAAAGTAGTGTGTGCTACACTATTGTCATCATAGATTACTCTACTAAGTGGGTAGATGCCAAACCTTTTTTTTTTTTTTTTGATCGGTAAATCAAAATATCATTGATCAAAAATGTTCCATATACAAGTACACCGGGCATACCCGGGCAAATCAAAAGTCAATAACACATGCAATTACTCCGGGCATACCCGGGAGCGAGCAAATGAAAAGAGATGTGCCAACAAAGGTTTAAAGCCCTGCAAGTAAAGATTCGAAGTGAATCAAAACATACGGATACAAAGTAAACATCGCTTTGTATATGTATGTTTTAATTCGTCTAACAATGGATTCAACTTGCGGCTTGATACCTTCAAAAATACATTTATTCCTTTCCATCCAAATGTAGTACACGGTTGTTGCAAGTGCAATACGTTTTGCTCTACTAGGCCAACTCTTACCTCGAGCTTCCTTTTTCATCCATTTTAATGAGCTCAACAAGGTGGACATGCTACGCCGAATAGCCAACCAATCCCGGATATGATCCCAAACTTCTCTACAAAATCGGCATGAAAAGAATAGGTGCTGGGTAGATTCATCCGTGAGTGCACAGAATGGGCACTTTCGGTCGATCTGGAGATACCATAATCTGTCCTTTGTCTGTAGTTTACCCCGAACAGCTAACCATAGGATGAAGGCATGTTTAGGTATGATGGAACCATCCCAAACAGAGGTAGCCCATGCAGTTTTAACTCCCTTCGGTCTGAAGAACTCATAGGCAGTTTTTGTGCTAAAAATCCCAGATTATGTCCAACTGAATAATTTGTCCATTCTAGTTTGAAGTTCATTTTGGGGTTCAACAATACTGTCTCTTATTTCCAGAAGCCTTTTAAGTAGTGGAGAATCACCTTTTCTCACTTTATACTTCCAAATGTCCGAGCCTCGAAGATGTACTTCATTTATCCATTTAATCCATAAACAATCCTTTTTGCTATGAATGTTGCAAAGAGTTTTAGAAAGGAGTGCGGCATTCCAACTTTTGATATCTCTAAAACCAAGCCCACCCTCATGCTTAGGTAGGCAAATTTGATTCCAAGCAACCAACGATTTTTTGGATCCCCATAGGAACCTTCGGCAAAGACTAATAATCTTTGAAGTAACCGTAGCCGGGATGGGGAAAATGGATAACCAGAAACATTCCACTCCTTGTAGAACGGCTCTTACAAATTCTGCTCTACCCACATATGACAAAGAAGAAGTCGACCATGCACCAATATAAGTAGAAATTTTATTGGTGAAAGAATCATAAGAACTCACTTTCAGTTTTTCAGCCGCAAGTGGGATGCCCAAATACTGAAATGGCATGGTACCAACTGGAAGATTAGTTAGTGCAAGGATATCCTCCAATTCTTGACCATGAATACCCGCTGTGTAGAGACAAGATTTCCCAACATTTATATTGAGACCCGACATGGCACCAAAAGTTGAAAGACACTTTATTAAGATATCCACCGACATCACATCCCCTCTTGCAAAAAGCATCAAATCATCCGCAAAAGCCAAGTGTGAAATCTTTAGGTGTGCTCATTTAGGATGAAAATTGAAATCACTATCGCTTGTAGCCACATTAACCATTCTAGAGAAGTATTCAAGGCATAGAATAAACAAGTAAGGAGATAACGGGTCACCTTGGCGTAGACCTTTCTTTCCTTTCAAAAATCCATTAAGGTTACCATTAAGAGCAATGGAATAAGATGGAGTTGTCACACACTCCATAATCCAACCAACAAAAGTAGCGGGGAACCCCAATCCTTCAATGACTTTTTCAAGGAAATTCCAATTTATGGAATCATAGGCCTTTCTAAGGTCAATTTTGAAAAGGCATCTAGGAGCAATTCTCTTGCGATTGTATTTTCTCAAAAGCTCTTGTGCCAAGTGAATATTCTCAATCATACTTCGTCCCTCCACAAAAGCAGTTTGTGCTTTGTCAACAATGACATCAAGCATAGGCTTCAACCGAGAGGCAAGGATCTTTGTAATGACTTTATAAAAAACATTGCAACAAGCAATTGGCCTATAATCCTCAACAGAAGTAGAATGATTACCCTTTGGTATCAAAGCAATGATAGTGTGATTGGTTTGCTTGAGTAGAGACCCCGTTGCAAAGAATTCTTCAATTGCCTCCAAGAAATCATTTCCAACAATATCCCATGATTTTTAAAAAAAACAAGATGTGTAACCATCCGGACCGGGTGATTTGTCATCCCCAATACTAAAGAGGGCATCTTTAATCTCTTGTCTCGTGATGTCCCAGACAAGCAACATGGCATTTTCCCCCTAATTGGCCTATAATCCTCAACAGAAGTAGAATGATTACCCTTTGGTACCAAAGCAATGATAGTGTGATTGGTTTGCTTGAGTAGAGACCCCGTTGCAAGGAATTCTTCAATTGCCTCCAAGAAATCATTTCCAACAATATCCCATGATTTTTTAAAAAAACAAGATGTGTAACCATCCGGACCGGGTGATTTGTCATCCCCAATACTAAAGAGGGCATCTTTAATCTCTTGTCTCGTGATGTCCCGGACAAGCAACATGGCATTTTCCCCCGACAATTTAGGACCGTTACTTAGAATTTCATCATTAAAATGCTGTCCACACCCGCTTTGTCCCAATAATTCACTATAAAAGTGAGTGAATTCCGTCGCCACCTCTTCTTGGGAAGTAGAGTAATTACCATCCCTCTTGATAACTGCCGGAATGAAGTTCCTCTTGGCATTTCTCTTAACCAAAGAGTGGAAATACTTGGTGCATTTATCACTATTCTTCAAATGAACACACTTTGCTTGTTGGTAATAAAAATTCCTTTCCGCTTCACATAGCATAGTAGCCTCCTTCCTCAATCTAGCAACCTCAGACTTTAGTTGAAGATTTATCTGATCATTATGTAATTCAACTTGTGCCAGTTCCAACTTTTTAGTAGCATAATCAGCCCTAGAGGAAATGTGAGCAAAGTGCTTGTCGTTGAGTTTTTTTAGCACCCCTTTAAGACTCTGTAATTTCTTACAAAGTGAGAATTGTTTAGAACCAAAAAAAACTTGATTCGGCCATTTGATACCACATCATGAAAGTCCTCATGGCATGTCCACATGTTAAAAAATTTAAATGGCCTTTTCTTCCTTTCAACTTCCCCAAAAATTGACACAATGCAAGGTGAGTGGTCGGAGAGGCAACCCGATGGAAGGAAGTTTGCAAAACTGTCATAACTCTCAAGCATCCAATTTCCATTTACCATGGCTCTATCAATTTTGCTCCAAACAGAATTATTGTTCCAAGTGTAGAAACAACCAATTGACCGCATATCCGTAAGTCCAACATTTTGGCAACACATTTCAAAATCTTTAATCTCATACGGAGTGACATCCGCCCCATTACTTTTCTCATCAAAATTGAGCACATTGTTAAAATCCCCTAAAGCCAACCATGGCAAGGTGCAATTGAGACCAAATTCCTCAATATTATCCCAAAGAGGCCTGCAGTTCACAATAGTATGGAATGCATAAACAAAATTAACAAGGAAGGTGCGTGAAGTTACCTTGCAAGTAATTGAGCAATGGATAACTTGTGCCGTAGTGTCCAAGACTTCCAATTCAGCCTTCAAGGAATTCCACAAAACCAAAATACGACCCGCTTTATGATGGCGAAAGTTGTTAGCAGAGGATAGACCACCAAATTTATTCCTCATAATACGGGATAACTTAAAATCATTCAGTTTTGTTTCCAAGATGCCCATAACATCAATCTCATGTCGTCGCATGAATTCTTTAACCCCATTTTGTTTGAGGGGCGGGTTAAAGCCCCTAATATTCCACGAGCCAATCTTCATGATGATGAAGCAAGGGAAATACCCTTCTTCTTTTCAGATAATTTCCTCGCTCTCCTGACCTCGTCGGCTATATCTTTTAATTTTTCATTGGTTACATTTTTGGAGAAAGACCCTGTCATGGTAGATGAAGAATCAGCCTTCAAATTTCTCATATGACAGCCTTGAATTGTAGACACTTGGGGCCGGTGAACATGTGTCGAATTTTTCCGACGACCAGCTTCATTTTTCCTGTTGACAACCTCAATAAAAGGGCCATCTGCCTGTACTTCAGCTTGTGTTTCCTGCCCGTCCGCACCATCATTATTTGGCTGTAGAGTAGGCTGCCCTTGTAGTCGGTTGAGTTCCCTATTCTGTCCATCAACATTTTCGGCTGATTTTTCACAGGATTCTGAACCTGTCTCAGCCGGTGGTTGCTGGAAATTTGAACAATTCCCAGCCTGAATATTCTGCCCTTTTCCAGCCAGCTCACTGGATTTTGAAGTCTCACCACCTGCGGTATTTTTGTTATACTTGCAACCAAGAAAGGAATGCCCAAAGACTTTGCAAGAACCACAAAATTTAGGTTCATGTTCAAAAAGAATATCTTGCTCCCTCAAAGATCCATTTGGGAGCTTAATCTTCACCACCCTCACAAGTTCAATAGATGCGTCGACTTCAACTAGTGCTCTTGCGTAGGATAGTCTACCTCTACTTGCCGTGACCTTATCGGTCGAAATGGGTTTACCTACTTTGGAGACAATTTTTCCCAATGCATTCGTGTTCCAAAATTCCAAAGGTAATATCGCAAGTTGATCCAAACCGGCATCGTGGTCACATCTTTATCATTAAAATCAAAGTACCGAGGCATAACCTTTAGCATTAATGGTCTACCATACACCAAATGAGGGCCTCCATGCAAGACACTAAGCCTATCCACGTCCGTTTCAAATTTAAAGACAAGCCACCCACTCGAGTGAACAAAATATTTGTAATTCACCTTCCATGAATCACACATATGGAGTAATGCAACTTTCCCCGGAAACATACCGGCAAAATATCCAATGAGGCCATATCCCCAAGAATTCTCGATGTTATCTTCATCCAAGTCACCCAAAACGACTTCATCCGATGAGTTGATGAGGAACGCTTCGATTTTCTTGAAGAAATGAGACATGATTCACAAGAAAAGCTCATCTCAGACCAACAAAAATGACCCCACTACTATAATGCTAAAGTGAAGAAGATGCCACATTGTATAGAAGACTTAGTTTTGAGAAAGATATTCCTCTTCTCAAAAGAACTAAGCATAAAAATATTGGGCCACAATTGAAAGGGTCTCTATCGCATCAAAGAAGAGCTATATCTTGGAACATACAAAATTGAAGATATGGATGGAAAGATACAACCTCTCCCTTGGAATATAGAGCATTTTCGTAAGTACTATCAGTGAACATAGCACATTACCCTTCCGACCAGATGATCTCTCCCAATTTATATAAAATTTTCTCATCAATATCTTCAACCATATTCTTTCATGCGAGGTGATGAGCCTTAGACCTATAAAGATCATTATCCTTTAACATGGATGAATGATCTACTATCCAAGTAAATCTTTGTCGCTTTGATAGAAGAGGTGTGAAGCATCCTAAAGGAAGCCCACCTCGAACACCATGAAGCACAACTCATTATCCTTTAACATGGATGAACCATCCACCATTCAAAGAAGTTTTTACTGCTTCAAGAGAGGTACTCACTCAGCATCCCAGAGGGATTTTACTAGAAACCTACAAAGTAGACCTCATCATCCATGAACATGGATGAACCATTCACCATGTAAGGAAGTACTTTTCACTTTGACAAATGAGGTATAAAGCATCCCAAATAAAACCTACCTTGAACCCTACGAAGTAGACCTCATTATCTCTTAACATGGATGAATGATCATCATATAAGGAAGTCTGTGTTGCTTTTACAGGAGAGGTATGAATCATCCCAAAGAGAGCCCACCTCAAATCCTACGAAATAGACCTCATTATCCTTTGACATGGATGAACCATTTACCATGCAATGAACCATTTTTCGCTTCAACAGAGTGGTGCAAAATAGTTAAACATGTAAGTTTGAATTAATGATGATGAGGTGCTATTAGATATACAATGAAGCAACAACATGAAAGAAAAGTAGCATGCATACAAGGAAAAGCAAGAAGCAATAACCCTTTGAAAATAAAATTTTCATTGATGGGAAGATAGATTACAAATGAGGAGTCCCAAGCCTTTACAAAAAGTTTAGTGAAATGAAAAAAGAAAGGTAGCCTAAGGATGTACCACTACATCTACAACAATCATTGCTTCAGCTTAGTCGCCTCGTCTCATCATGAGCTTCATTGGCATTGGCCTTGATGTTTGGGTGATCTTCAATTGGCCCCTACTAAACTTATCCTCCTAAAAGTTGATATTCGATTCCAAATGAGCCTCCCTCATCCGAGCCACCTCAGCTTTCAAAGATTTTTGAAGGCTCAATAGTTGGCAAAGTTGTCATAATTCTTAGTCTTTTCAAAGTTATCAACATAGTTCTTGATTGCTACTTCACCTACCATAGCCATATTAGCCTTCAAAGATTTAATTTCTTCATTTTGAGCCTCTCAATCTGCCTCATCTCTATCTCTTTTCTTTTTTCAAGGCTTACAGGGTTTTATCTATGAGGCGTTTGTGTTTATTGGATTAGTTGACCATCTTGACTAAGGTAGACACTTGAGATCAACTTAATATAGTTCTATTTCAAAGCGACTAACCTTGAACTCAACAAAATCCAACTCATCTTAACCTACGTTTTCATAAGCAAGCTCGACGTTTTTACCTTATGCCTTCACTTTCATCAACTTTTCCTCCAGCTTAGAGGAGGCCTCTAATCGATCCATCAATGCTTATTTCGATTTTGAAAATCATGCAACAAATCTTGAGTAATGAGGCCAATCCCTAGACCATGAGCCACACAAGCATTATTTATCTACAGGAGATTTTAGCCTAGTAAGAGGCAACTTGATTTTGCCACCTCTCAATGCAGTATTTGTAATAAATCGCTATAGCCTAGTATCTTCAAAAGAAGTATTGTAGTTGCATCTTTTGCGAGCTCCTTACTATTGACCCTGAAAAAATAATTTACTTTGTCGTTTCAAGGTGGATTCACAGACTTTTTTGCCTTGAAATTCATGCTCCTTCATCTCATTCATTTTCATAGGATGCAAGCTTAGCTAAATAGTGCTTCTAGAATGCTGGGCAATGAGAGGAGGATGAGGAGAATTTGTAGAAATTTTCACTTAGATGGGTATCTGATATGGAGGTGGGCAAATTGCCCTGATAGCAATGGTAGGACCGGATGAAGAGGCACCAAAGGCCTCGGTTCTCTTTTTCTAGTCCAAAGGCTTGACTATCTCGTCTTGTTCTTTTTCTTTTTCCACATCATTGATAGGCAACCTTTATTTTCCTTTTGTAATTGATCATTTTGTTTCTTGTAAGCAGAAAAAGTGGTTTTCGGGCTTTAATGGCTTCTTCTTCAAAAAGTATTCTGCAAAACAACACGTATTAGTACATATGATTTGAGGAGCTCAGCATACTCGAGGTAAATAATTATAATTTACCTTGAAAGGCCATAAGTTCGTGCTTGATGAAGTGGATGTTTTTTTCTATGAGCTCGAGGTATTTGCCATTTTTGTTCGCAAGCTGATATATGATGGAAATAATGTCCCACTACTCCTTGGAGATCTTGTACAGAGGCAATGAACTTGCCAGCAAGGAAAAATGTTTAAGTGCTAATCAAATGGTATGAAAGGAAAAAATAGTTCAAAAATACAAAAACTCGCTAGAAGTGGAATAGGTGGTTGGATTAGTAAGAGGGAGGTGGAAAAGAGTAAGAGAAGTGAATGGGTCTCCTTCCATGGTGTCCAATACCCTGATGCCCAAAACCAGGATTATTTTGCCCCTTGATGAAGGTTGATAGCCTGATAACAAAAGAAATATGGGACCCCACAAGATCAGATAATACCACCCCTTGAAATTCTCACATTCTCGTGAAACCTTTGGTTGTAGATAAAGTAGGGACACTAAAGGATATGTCTTTGCCTAGAGTTACCTCAAACCAGAGCATCCACGACCTAACCATCTGACTCTAGAAGTTTGAGTTGAGCTAGGTTAGAGCTAGGCTATAAGACTTCATGACGTGGCAGAAAAATGGTATATGTGTACTCTTAAGTGTAGTTTTTAAAATTGCCTCACTTATGATAACACGTCTCAACCTTATATAGCATGCCTGCTCATTAGGTTTAGGGACGATTAGACCTATACTATCAGGGATCTTATATTTTTTTCCTAACTACTTGAAGTTTGGTTGGGGTTCTAGTTTGAAGGAACACTCGACACCTCCACTTTTAATCGGTGTGTCCATAGGTCTCCTTCAAATGTTCTCATTGGACGTGACTGCTTCGAAATCTCAATTGAGGAGAGAATATTGGATTCTCCAATCCCAGAAGTAACAATGGCCAACCTATCTCCACTAGCCTACCAGGTTGCCTCGCAAACTCAGACATTCTTTGTGCTTTGCTTTTAAAGAAAGGAAGAAAATGGAGAGTGTGGAATGACTAAAAATTTTCAAGGATAAAATTGCTGGAATTGATGAATATCATCAGAAAAAGCAAAGTGGGTTACTGAAAATAAATAGATTCTTACCGAAATTGCAAATAGACATAGTGATATTGCATTTTCCAATTTTTGCAAAAGTAAAAACTTGCAAATGGGAGAAGAAAGTATTAGGATCAACACAAGGATAATCTTGGACATCTATTCATCAACACCTAAAACTATGATGAAATTAATGATCTAGGAGACTCGTATCTTGGAAACAAGCAGTCCCTTGGTTGGATTTTATGAAGACACGCAATAGCTTTCAAATTAGATGCGCACACCCTAAAAATGTATGCTCGCCTTAGAGGCTTCAAATTGCCACTACTACAACATTCCATTTCATAACAAAAATGACTGCCGTATAAGGTTTCAAAATACCACTCTAGGTAAAACTCGCCTATCTTTTAGAGCTTTTCTCCAATGCCAGGACCTCGCCTTTGTAAAACTGACTTACATAGTTTCCATACAAGGTATCAGAATACCATTCTAAAAACAAAATTACATTCATTATATAAATATCCATACATGGTCTTGGAGGATTATTGAGTTATGCTCAGACACAACTAAACAAGTGATCACCTCATTGGCATGGCTCTACACAAAGGTAGAACACACGATTCTAAAGCATCACTTTGACAATGAAATCATGCCGCAATTATATGATCCACTAAATCCAAAAATCTATGCATTTTTTAAATATCAATACTTGGACTTAAATGACTATTGTTACGCCTTTCCTGACGAGGCTCCAAGTATCAACCACATAGTAGCCAAATCAGGCTCGGGCTCCATCTTAGCAGCCTTCCTAGCCTAACCGAGGCTATAACGAAGGTGTCAAAGTGATCCATGAGCTCATCGACATTCCATATAGAGGTCATATATCCAAGATCGAGGTAAGTTGCTCTAGCCTAATATAAAGTAAATCTGAGATAATTAGCCTCTTAATAAGAAAAAGCATCTTACACTTCACCTGTTCCAAGAGATATTTCGTACAAGATCTTTCTATAATTGATTGATATGACATCTATATAGAAGACACCTTACATTCAACTTGTCAGTCTACTTTTTAGATGTTAGACCTGGACTTCAAAATGACTAATTTTCAGAAAATATTAAATATACTGAACCTAGAATTTATTGAATGACACCTTGGAGAAGATGCCTTGACCATCAGGATGAGATCACACATATTTTCATCTAATGGTAACCACTTTTCCTCTTCTACAATAAAAGCTTACATTTAATGTCATTTGTCGGTAATGCAATTTTACGCACTTAGTAATATTGTCGGTAATTGTTTGTCAAAGTGTATAGGAGATAAATTATGTGAACGTGAGTAGAGTTGAGATCTGTTGTCCATGTCACCCGTGCAAAAAACTGAGGTTAACATTAAATAAATGTGGATTTTCAATTTAACTCTCAAATATGCATGTTTAACTTTCAATTTTTTGTACCGAACACTACTTTCAAGCTTTACATCATTAGAACCCTACATATTGATTAATTTAGTAGAGCAGTTAGTCATTCTTATCATATAGAAGTCAGCAGTGCTCAATCAAGATTCTGGATTGCCCATATTGAATGTAGTAACAATTGTCATTGTAAATTTGATTAAAAAAAAATTACAACTATACTCTCTCGTCAACCACCTAATAGTCTTTTAGCACAATAAATGTACGTGAACTATTATGATATCAACAAGATAATTAACAAGATGAAATAAAACAAACAAACACAAGAACACAAAGATTTTACATGAAAACCTAATACGAGAAAATACCATGTGGGCTTAGGAGGAACATTTCACTATAATCAATAACGAATGTTGTTTTCATAAGATTTCAATGCTCTCAATCAAGATCTAAAACTCTTTCAAGGCTTTAACAATGTTATATTTTGTTTACAAGTCGTGGATGTTGCATATAAACCATAAAATAGAGTTATTGAAAACAAGTTAAAATGCGAAATGGGCCTTGGGCTAGACGAATTGTTGCTTGAGCGCCAAGCAGGCACCAACTCTGCCGCTCAAGCAGCATTTAGCACCAGCACCCTTGTTTTGAGCGTTCAAAGCGAGAGACAGGTGCTTAGTGAGTGGAAGTGCATCGAGATTTTCTCCTTGGACCATAATTTCACCTCTTCAAGTCCTTTTCAACCGAAACACCAATATCTAATAGAATTTAGGTCACACTTCAACAAGGAAAAAATAAAAGGAAGATAAATTTTTGTTTACTGTAAACTTTGTTCCTACTTAACACTGCATACCAAGCAAACCTTAAACGTACTAACATGAAGTGTTACAAATGAGAAGCTTAAAACTATAATCTACAAAACTCACTAATAACAACACAGATGTGCTAACTTTTCTCAGCAGGGGGGAAGATCACTAGGTGGTGGAAGCAAACACTGGGACGACTCTGGACCGCTTTTAACAATGAATCCCGTGGCCAGACCCCAAGAAGTATGTTCCTCAAGATGGCAGTGTATGAACCATACTCCTGGATTATCTGCATTGATCCTAATTGCAGCCCATCCCCCGACAGGTACAGCCACTGTATTCCTTTCTGGAGGATCCACCAGATTGTAACCTGCTGGGTCCTTGTAAACATCAAAGTTTCCAAACCCCCTTCCCACAATGAAGAAATTGTGACCATGTACATGTATTGGATGGTTTTCTGGATTCAGAAAATTCGTATCTTGTAGAACAATTTCTAGTTTTGTCCCGAAAGGTACCTCCAAAAGTCTTGTGCTAAACTCTGGGTTCATGTTGATGTTTTCAGCCACTGGATCGACCCCGGTGTAGTTAAAAACATTCGGTGGCTTCTCTGGGAAGTCTGAAGCATATCCAGTATTTAGTTTTAGATAGTGGGATTCAAGTACTGACCTTGACGGGCGAATAAATGATTGATTGTTCATGGATGCATAGAACCTTTTGTTTCTATAGCCTTTACAGGTTTCATTAACAGGACAATCTTGCAAGCTCAGGCCTATAGTCGTTATTACGCGCTTTTCAATTTCTTTTGGCACGTTGCACGGGTAATCAGTGGACGCAAGGCTACGGAGCTGGTTCGAAAAGTTGGTCGCAAATGCTGTATCTTCCATTGAAGGGAGATTGGAAGGTAAACTATAAGGCGGCAATGGAGGCTTTTCCCTTCCTAATTTCGTCGTATTATATTTCAAGAAACCGATAGTGGTCGAATTATCAAATGGGAAAACCGACGTGAGATAAGGCCTAGCTGCCATAACAAACATGCCATCAGGGATTTGGTTTGCAGTGAGCAAAACATTTGTTGTCTGTCCAGGGGCTATCATTATAGCTGATGTTGTAAAGGGTTTTGTGTAAACAGAATCAATCTCAACCACAGTTAAAGTATGATTTGCCACAGCAAAGAAAAGTTCATCATTTAAGGCTGCATTAATAATTCTTAGCAAGTATGTTTTGCCACGCTCAACAGTCTGGATTAAAGTATCTGCACATTTAATGAAAAAGATTAAAAGAAAAAGAAATGGACAGCCTTTACAATAGTGAAATTAACTTGAATTATGTAGGGTTTTGAAGCAGGCAAGCATCATTTGGGTGTGTACCTTTAATGGAACAAGGATATAATGGCCCTGGTAAACCATTAATGGTGTAAGCATCCGAAACATTAGGTCCACCACCATACAGCATCATTTCGTTTTCCACAGCATCAACATCGGCATTCCACCATTCACCTGTGTTCATAAGTAAGCAGCAAATTAGTATAATTTGCTGCATGTAGTCGACTTCGAAGTCATTAAGAACCGATATTTTTGTTCCAACAATGTCATGGAAAATGGATGCGAAAAAGAGACTTCCATTTCTTTATTAGGAACAAAAATAGGAAATTCTCTCTTTCGAAGAGATTAAACTCAATAGAAAGGACTGAATAAAAAGGCTCGACTCGGTACGTTCGAGTTTGAATCGGTCTGTTGTTTCAACACGGTTCGGGCTAGACATAAATCGGACAACCTCATGGCCCGACAATATTACAGTCAGGCCAATCCTATCTGTCCTTTTATAAATTTGTATCCAAACAAAGACGTAATAAAAAATTAAAAATTTTCTAAGAAACAAAAATCGTATTATAATTTATATTTAGGCTAATTAGGTCAACAAGCTAGACAATCAAAACAGCATGACCCATTCATTATGGCATACCAAGCAATAAATTCCACAAATCAGGCTAGTTTCAATCTGGTCTTTTAACAGTCTTGATCATTCAGGAAATAAATGGTCCAGACCATTTTGACGCCACTAATTTATAAGCCATTTGGACATCATTTCCTTACAA